TCTTAGAAATACCTTAAATTCTACTATCAGGCCACGCCTTAATCTAACTTGTTTTATTTCTTGCAAAAGTTGCTATAGACCACGCGATTTTCATGTCTAGCGGTTTACCTCAATCAATTTCCAGTCGATTCCTAATTGATAGTGTAAATTGGCCAGGTAAGGTTACATTGTAATTATAGGCGGTTAAATAACTAGTAAGTCATCTGTTTAGACCGTAGCAGATGTAATTAGTCGCATCGTTAGTCATTAGGCTGTAATTATTATATCATAAACCGCATTTGCCAGTGTTTACTCGAGCATTATAAATGTCATGTCACGAGATTTATTCAATTATACTGGATTATGGTCAGAGGAACTTATGGTCAGTTCTTTGGTTAAGCGCCAGTTTGATATTAGTCAGCCCACAAGCTTCTATAAGCATAGAAGCTTAGAAATTAATGTTTCATATTAACTCGTCGAGTACCGTCATTATAGACACAATTATAGAACAATAGGTTGCGGTCACCGGTGACCGCTTGGTGTTTGACAGTTTAATATGTAATATTGGTACGTAGTGTATGAACTGGGATATATTTATTTATCATAACATCACGCCTTTTATCCCCGAAGGGGTAAGCAGAGGTGCACATTATGCCACTGTTCAAAGTACCATCCAATTTTCACTATTTATGTTATGAGTCCCGTGTAATAGGAGGTGAGCCTATTGCCATATACCGGGCCCAATTCCAGACTCCGTGCTACAACTGAGATTTTTTTAAAACCCAGTAATACTTTGCCCGACCCGGGAACCGAACCCGAGGCCCCTTGCACGGCAGTCCCACTTGCGACCAGTCGGCCAACGAGGCAGACAGTTTATTTATTTATATACGTTCATTAAGCACCTTCACGTTTCAATAGATACAAATTTTTTAAACCTACTGTAATACTTCTCTGCATTACCTTGCGGGCCAGTCAGCCTACCATTGTATAAGTGGATGTACAAAAAGTGTTAAATAATAGTAATACTCAAAAGAACCATTAAAGGATTTTTCAAATGAGACTGGTAGTTTTAGAGAAAAGGCAAGTTTCTTCAGTTTTTCATGTTACTTCAGATTAGTCCGAGTAGATAGATATATAGATTAGATTAGTAGGCAATGAATGCCATTATCGTCATTATACTCATAGCATGTAAGTTCATTGTCTTTTTAACTTTTTAGTACATTAATGCTATCTTAGTTGACGCCCCTTTAATATAATATTACTCATATGCGATTCATTTTGTTGCATTATCTTATACCATACATTGTTTATTTGTTTGTGATAACTAAAAATAGATTCAGACCTATTTACACAATACGAATTCTAAGCCTTTATAAACCTGGACATTATTGAAATAGGTACAAAGTTCCTGCTGCATTTGTCTGACCAATTTGCAATAGACTAAAAAATATCCTGACCGAGGGATATTAAGACTCTTGGGCAATTATTAAATGCATAATTTGTGAAGGTCCACGAGGGAAACCACTCATTCTACATGGAGAAAGTTATCATAATAAGTTAGAAGTAGTACCTAACCTATACAATTCCTATCTATACAAACACCAAGCTTTATCTTTTGTCTACATTACATAATAATTAAAAACAACAATAATAACCACATGCTGAGAGTTCTTACGCCCTGTCTACGGTAAAGAGGACGCTTCCAGACGCCTGTCGCTTATAATACATCTCAAGGTGCTTTTTAATAAGATACATAAACACGTTTAGTGTTAAAACATAGCAAACATTCGTGAAGATTATTTCTAATCTATACTTTGCTAATATTTTCCGATACATTACACTGTTTGCATTGCACTAGTGCTAAATTATTATTAAGTATTATCTTGTATACGAAAAGCTAATGGGAATCCTCTACACATGTTAACTCATTGGAAATATATAGTTTGTATGTTTATATGTATGTATACCTAACTTGGATCATTACCAAAAATACTCATTATTGTATGCATGATAATACTTCTCATTACCATAAGTAGGTACATACAATATATGTGGTATTTGTAATTAGTTGATAAAAAAGTTCAATTAAAACATTTTATTAATAAATCACACGATAAACCTGTTTACAGAGAATTTTAAAATACGTAGATACCTAATGTATGAGATTATCGTAGTCATAACACTGGAATAAGTTGGAGACAGAAACGAGGAAGCCAATTGACACGAAGATATAGAGAAACTGACGCAGAGAATTTATTTTAAGTGTTTTATTTGAACAGTAATAAATATTTCACCATGTCACATACCTACGGACATAAATATATAGAATTTGGGTAGTGATGTAGATGACTAGATGTGAGATGACTCATTTATATTTTATATCTTCTTTTTAGCTTCCTTAGTAATAGTAAGTTCGTTTGGTTATCTCCACTACTAACAGCTAGATTCAATTCATTTATTTATAAATTACTTATATGAAAAATTATTTATCAATGTTTGATCATTATCTTTGTGGGACGATCTCCATCAAATTGAACTTTACGAAAATGGATCCAGCCGTTTTTCAGTTACTATCATCATAGTTAAGTTAATACATTTCTCTACATTTTATTGGCTATTTAAATGACTTTCCTCATTGATAAACTTTCTCAAGCAATGGCCTGCAATGTTCTTACAATGGCATACATGCATGAACATATAAATCGATAGCTAGAATCGTTACTTCCGATTAATTCGATATATTCACATCGTGCAACTAACTAACTGGGTTGCAACTATGCTTCTTAAAACACCTATTCTTAGTAATGTATGAATATGAAGGTACCTACATATAATCGATCTTCCACGTGAATACATTATAAAAAATCGTGAGCAGGTACATGATTACGATTATTTATATGTTTTTTTATGATTATGAAGTCGTTAAGAACAATTCTGTTGTTACAAAAAACAGTGAATAATGCTCTAATGATGACACAACGGTTATAGCTGTTTTGCTTCTGAATCGACCCGCTATAACGTCACCTTGGTGTTTTAGTAGTATGATTTTTATTTTGCAATAAAATATATTTTGTCACTAAAAATATAAAGGATTCCCTTTTGCGCCTATTTTAAGATACTAGAGGTACTATTTAAACTTGTATTACCATTACATAATAAGAAAACCTAACAATAGTTTTTCTGACCAGTATGGAGACTGATCAGTAGTAGCACGGAGTCGGAGTCCGGTTTATGGCAATAGAGAATAGGCTCACCCCCTATTACATGGGACTCATAACATAAATAGTGAAAAGTGGATATTAATTGTAAGTACAGTGGCAATAAATGCTGTAATGTGTACCTCTGCCTACCCCTTCGGGGATAAAATGCGGAATGTTATGTTATTACTTTTCCTGACTTATCGAAATCGAAATCTTATGTTCTACGCTAGACATTCTACTATAGTTTTTCATTGATTTATCCATCGTATATAATCCAGGACATATAAATCAATTGTAACCTTTGCAGTGATAAAAGACTTCGCGAAAAGCTTTTAAAAGATTAATATAAGTGCTTACGTAGTGACAATCACACTATCTAGAGTGGATGAAACCATCGAATCCCATAAAATGGTATTTATTATCTCTATATAAATAAGTGACAAAGTTGATGGTGTCACTATCACCATGGAGTATATTAATGTACTAGAAGCTCTCTATATCAAAGTGTTCAGAATTAATTCATTTACGTACTGTTCAATCACTCTGACATACGGTAGTGAATATTTTTAATTAATATCATGAATTTAAATTTAAAAATGCGTAGACTTTCTATCAGGTGATGGTTTCATTTTGTATCTGTGGTTGAGTGTTACACAAGTGAGGCGGTTTTTTTTTTATTTTTAGTGTGTTTCTGTGTATTTTCGAAAGTTACATTACTGAAGTTAAAACCGCCATATCTCCTTCTACTCGGACTTTAGTCGGTAGGCAGAGGTGTGCATTATGCCACCGTACAATGTATCACCCACTTTTAACTATTTATGTTTTGAGTCCCATGTAATGGGGATGAGCCTATATTCAACATTTTATAATGCCATTTCGTGCAGCAGCCACCTTATTTATCAGTACTAGTATATGCTGTAAATAGATTCTTATTTCGATTCTTTACTATTCAGCAAAAATCCTTATGAAAGTTTGTTATCTGGAACACTAATAACATCAGGTCTATGATCAAGTCGTATAGGTATTATCAATTAATACTAGGCGCCTCTAAGAATAAATATAAAGCCCTTTAAGGATAATACGTTATGTACGTCATTAATACTGATTGACTATCGCAATAGATACATGACAGTATAATAAAATGAGCAATTATATCACAATATTATTCTATGTACTTCCAGGTATATTATTTTTCTTCGTCTGCGTGAATCGTGTTATTGGAAATACCAATATTTATATAAGTTTATTATTGCAAGTTGTCAGTATGTTTACCTGTATAATTAACTGATTTATATCAAACAAATACAAGGAATTTTCATAATTGAGTAGTTTGATATAAACTTTTATTATACCTACCTACATACTTAGAGATGAAGTGTAAATCATCAAGATAATAATGATATTATCATCTCCTACCTAACTCATAAAAAACAAAGCAGTTCAATTATTAAAACCCATTTTGGTAAAAAGAACCCATTTTAGTAAGACTAAATAAAACCTTAAAATCGAATAGTCGACTTGAAACAATAGGATGATCTCCACAATCTGTTATCCTAACACAAGGACAAGCGAACAACGATTACCACTTAATGGAGATTAATGTCATAACCGAAAAAACTCTGAACAAACCGAGCATAAATCATTTGTCCGTGGAAATTAAATATTGACATGCCATTCGTTTGCAATCATCATTATGAATGGGATAAAATATAATACCTATTAACTGAAGGTGTCTAGGAGCTTTTTAGGATAAAATAATATTCCAAATCTTATTGAAGTTCTTAAAAACGTAAGTTTAAAGTTCTTTTCTTTTATTTCCAGATACCGTCAAGCCCGTTACGCAGCGAGACGCGTCCGAAAACGCGTCATCTTCAAACATGGAGACTGCAACGTCGTCCAATGGAACGTGGCCAAGCGCAGGCGCCGATACCTTCAGGACATCTTCACGACCCTCGTGGACGCTCAGTGGCGCTGGACGCTGCTCGTGTTTGCGCTCTCTTTCATCCTCTCCTGGCTACTCTTCGCTCTCATCTGGTGGCTCATCATCTTCACCCACGGAGACCTCACCCCTCCCCCTCCCAACGAAAATGTTACCTTCATACCCTGCCTCAACAACGTCAACTCCTTCACCGGCTGCTTCCTGTTCTCCGTTGAAACACAACACACCATCGGTTATGGCTCAAGAACAACCAACGAAGAGTGCCCGGAGGCTATCTTCGTGATGTGCCTCCAGAGTATCGTGGGTGTCTTCATCCAGGCTTTCATGGTGAGATTTATATCCGAATGTTTAATTTGTTCTCCCATATTTCATTTGGATAATGAGTTCAATAAACACATGCTGCGATGGACGCTGAAAGACTACATACTTACTGTCAAAACAAATGCCGTTTACTGGCAATAAATCCAAATAACATTGAACTAGACCGCCATAAAAATAACTACCTTTTTAATGTTCCAATGCTGGCAAAGATCTCAATAAAACAAATATCTAATCACTGTTTTATATACAGCGTTTATGAAAGGGTTTTGAGTACATAAAGCTGAAAAAAACCTTCCTGCTCAGAAGCTAATATGATAATTTAATATTAAAATAAACTTGGAATCGAGCCAAATGTATTAACGTAACGCACTCTATACGATCCAGCCAGATGTTCTCTTAAAAATCATTACAATTTTAAAAGATGGCTTTTACCATTACGTAGCCGTTAAATGTATCATCGCAATTAAAATTAAAACAACTCACTGCCCGTACATTGCAGAGTATGACATTGACAGTACGTAGTCTTCTGCTGCCAGTAGATACTACACAGTATAGTACTAGTATTACTACAGCAAGCGACGGACTCGCTATCCCAAACATGTGGTTTATCACGTGTCGCATCATATGTTGTTCTATTTTAGGTGGGAATCGTGTTCGCAAAGCTCTCTAGGCCTAAAAAGCGTGCCCAGACCCTGCTGTACTCCCAGAAGGCTGTCATTTGCTTACGCGATGGCCAGCTGTGTCTGATGTTCCGTGTCGGAGACATGAGAAAGTCTCATATAGTTGAAGCGCATATAAGAGCACAAATAATCCGCCGCAAGGTATATTATTTCGCCAAAAACGGAGACTGGTTAGTGATTGGGGACTTCAGTCAGCACGCCTAGTTACGTCTAACACGAGTTCACACTGACTCCTCTCTCTAACTTGTGGGGCGTCGAACTCTGAACGCAAATACTCCCGATGTAGAAGTTCATGATGTGTCCTTCAGACTTCGATTCCCCAAGTTTTGGAACAATGTATTTCAAAACGATTCTCTCTTGTCCGTAGGTGGGTCTTATATTCGCGAAGCTGGCACGTGCAAAAAAGCGTAACACTACACTCCTGTTCTCTCGTAACGCGGTTATATGTCTGAGGGACGGGGAATATTGCCTGCTATTCCGTGTTGGAGATATCCGCAAGTCGCACATACTGGAAGCGCACGTGCGTGCCCAGCTTATAAGGAAAAAGGTATTAATTAATTAAATACAATAATGCTATTTGTCAGTGCATTCAGTATTGTAACTACTTATTTATTTGCGCGTTTATTTTTGCATTTGTCTGCTATCTTATACGACCCATCTATGGACGATACAGCATGTTATTTTTTTATTTTTGCTTTATTTTGCTGTTCACACGTCATATTAACGTCAATACACATTATCGATTAACATATTGTGATATAGAGACTAGAATAAACATTTTTAACCCGTATCATTCTTAGTATAACAATATTGAAAACATTAATTACATTATGATTAAAATTAATAGCCAATTAATAGAAAAAATATACTGATAAAATTCTGTATCGGCTGAAGTTGAACAAACTGCACGAGTGTTGTGCAAAACGTAACGTGTCATGGGTATTCACGTGGTAACTAGTACATGTACCTATTAACACAAAATTTACCATATTTCACGCCATCCACACTATATTTACTTATTGTAGCAAATTAAATAATGTTTCATAGTACAGAACATTCAGGCTTATGCAGTCGATACTTTGGGTATTTTTCTAGAAATCACATAAATAAAAGGCGTAGAAATACTAAATTTCACAATAAGTACATCACCTTCTAATATTTCATGCTTGCTAATTTTGATTTTTACTAACAAACAAAATAAGGTTATCATGCAAAAAATCGCGTGACGCCATTAAAATGTTTCTTTCTCTAGGTAAATAGGGCGTTGTTTTTGCATAACAACTTTATGAACCATTGGTCATGACTAAGTCTAAGCATAACGAAAGCACGAAACATCGATTTTATTTCTTACATAATTTCCTAGAAAAATGCAAAGAAATAATTCTTTGGAATTTCGTGGTTTCGTAGTTACCAAAAATTTTGAAAAAGAAGTAGTGATTTAACAATTTGATGAATTTTTAAAAATAGATAACTAGAGAGGGTGAGGTGCTGCCGTTCTACCAGCAAGAGTTGAAGGTTGGTGCTGATGGAGAGGAAGACAGACTGATGTTCATATGGCCGATGACCATAGTCCACAAGATCAATGAGAAGTCACCACTGTATAATCTATCCGCGTCCGACATGCTCAGAGAGAGATTTGAGATCGTCGTTATGTTGGGTAAGTTCAAATATTATAAAATTACATGTTTTTATACATTGTTTAGTTCATTAACATCTGTTTTCGATGACCGACCTCATAGTATAAATAAGTTTGATAGAGAAATGTAGAAAAGTTTTAATTACCTTTTAAATCTAGATAGAAACTTCTACAACAGTAACGGAAACGATATTATATCTTATTTACCATCTAATTTCTAAATAAAATTCACGTACGTAGATTGTGGCTCTATCAACTCGAGTAGGTACCTATATTACCAAGTGTGTGTATAATGTAGCACTTGGGTGGTAGTGCAAGCCAATATCCTACTACTAAATTATTGTTGATCGAAGACTAAAACAATGCAATGTGTCTAGCATCTGTCAACACCACATATTTTAACGCAAAAACTAACAAAGGTGAACAAAGATGCAATGAATAATCTTGTTTCTTGGAAAACAAACTATAATACAACTATCTAAGATAGAACAACAACTGATTTCGAAAACGTTTTAAAATTCTTTAGAATCCATTCGAATTTTAAAATAGTTCAACTGACATTCGAATTTTGTATTCTTTTTTAATAATATCTGGCAACATAGCACCAAGTAGTTTGTAATTGTTCCACAAAATGTTTGTGGAATCGAGACACACGTAATGACCGCATGCTTGCGATGCTTGGCACTTCCTTGACAGAGTTTTGGTAAACTGCCCTGGTCTACACATGATAATGATTATACGGTTTCATATATTCTATTAATTATAAGATACATGTTCACTGATCGTATTATGAAGACAGATAACATCATTATTGAGTTCAAACTTCCAGATGAAACATAAAATTTATCCCATAGATTTTACCAAGGCGTTTATAATTTGCAACGGTGAATATCATATTTCTAGGAATATAGTTAAAGTTAAGGACAAACATAGGAATAAAGTTTGCATAAATAAAAAATTTCTATGCTAATGTCACAACGAATTCCCCATTAGTGACACAATCCTTAGAAAAGCCTATAAGGCCTGTGAGTCATGTTTCTATTAAGAAATAGATACGGTTACAACTGTGGCTGTGGCTTAAAATAGAAATATGGTATAAACAGAAATGTTTAATTTAATCAAAAATGTGTGAATTTTTTAAACCAATTTAAATAAATGTTACAAAATGGCCACTTATTTTATTAACGTTATTTCCTATAGTCCACGTGGTATCAATAATATTATTATCTTTCATTTCTCTGCCAAAAATCATATTACCAATTATAAAGTGGATCACACGTGGTTCCTAGAATATAATTATAGATATACTCATAACGCTCGAAGTGTCCGAGATCACCTTAATTAGTTTATCACCTGAGTGTATTGGCAGATTGATTCTGTCCAAAGACCAGAGAGCTTACTCTTGAATCCAATTCCGATCGATCGACATTGGTATTGTGAAATTTTGTACTCTCGAGTTGCTACCCTAGCGCCCATTACATCCGTATTGCATGGATATTTAACGAACTAAATTGTACTGAGTTTGGCTTTATATTCCGTACTATTTTAACAGATACGATAGGGGTTGTATAGTTTTGACATTGAGTAATTATTGAGACTTTATTGGATTGAAATTGCATTGACATTAAGATTTTTTCAAGAGTAAGCGCCCAGATCAGAAAAACACTCAGTTTTAAATGGGATGTAAATATAATTTGTCCTAAATGAGTCATTTAAGTCTCTGTTTATGTAAATTTATCGAACTCAATATAAATTAAGTAGGTAGTCAAAATGCACCTAATGTAATGAAAATAGAACAATCAGGAAAACACACAAATCATAATTTCTAACATTAAATTTTCTGTTGTGTCAAAGTACATACCATGGAATTCAACAGAATCCCTGTATTTCTTTCTATATCAAGTATGTATATATAATAATTTCCTTTTTTAGTTTTCTAACAATTATAGCGAAATCTTATAACTCGACTTTATCAGTGTTTTCTTAGTAACTATAAATTTTGTGTTACGTCCAAAATGCTTGTATCAAATCCAATATTATTACTTACTTATGTTCTTATGTCTCCATCATTTCAGAGGGTGTGATAGAGTCCACTGGTATGACCACTCAGGCTCGCAGCAGTTTCTTACCATCCGAGATCCTCTGGGGCCACCGCTTCGAAACCATGGTCACGTTCAGGAAGGACACTGGAGAATATGAGGTGAGTACCTGCTTCTGATTGGTTCAAATGCTTGTTTATATTTACTGATTGGTTGATTAGGTATTTTAAACCGCATCGGATTTTGAAAAGGTCTTTTCTTAAACAATTTTCGTTGCCTTAAATCTTTTCAATCTTATTTGAGATGAATATATAATTCCATTAATTTTTTGTTTAAAATTATCATCAATCAAACTATATTTTAGTTATAAACGGCATTTAATTAAATAAGCTTTTAGCATTGTTATTGAAATATGTATCCAATAATAATAGGAATAGGAAACATTTTTGTTATAGTTACTAATAAGAAAATAATGAATTGTTCCTTATGGAAAATCATTTGCGATTAGGTACGTAATTGAGTATCACAGCCAATTTATAAAATGTATGCCTACATATTTAATGGCGCCGGATAATACATATAACTGCCAGCTGCCTACACGCTTAACATAAATTACTGAACGTAGAAAACATGACAAAACATATATAACACAAATACACGGGGTAAATAAAATAAATCCAAAGGTATTTTATTACATAACATAACATCACGCCTTTTTGTCCCCGAAGGAGTAGCCAGAGGTGCACATTACGGCATTTAATGCCACTGTACAATGTAACACCCAATTTTCACTATTTATGTTATGAGTCCCATGTAATAGGGGGTGAGCCTATTGCCATATACCGGGCACAATTCCAGGCTGCTACTGAGATTTTTATAAAAACTCAGTAACATTTTGCTCGACTCGGGAATCAAACCCGACACCCCTTGACTGGCAGTCGCACTTGCGATCACACGGCCAAGGAGGCAGTCATTCATTTTCAATCAATCAAGTATTTTATTGCATTAATTCAAATATATTACGTCAATTGCATAAGGCCAAGTGTTATTAAGTCTGGTAATGGAATTTACTACCTGGAACAAATGACACTATCGTACGTAGAGTTGATCTGTAATTATTTATTTGTTAATTAATATCTAGTTATGTGCGTAAGTAATTGTTGGAAATATATGTAAGTTCTTAAATTCATCAGTTTTAAGTGTCAATATAATTTTCTGCTTTAAAAATGAACTTCTTACGAGCAATTGATATCATCTCCCTTATCTAAATTTGCAAAGTCTACATCGTTTACTAAGATATACATAAATAACTTCAGGCAGAGACTATGGAATGCCAATTACTACGATTCCTACAAGATATTATATATTCCTATTTATTAAGATATATTTCTGTATTATGCTCATTTTTATCAGTAATACCTGATCTTTTTGACTGATCTTTTTGTATAAAAATCAATGTGATATAGAGAATTTGAGCAGTTTCTCAGTTTTTCCACGAAGGCATGATCATAATTAACCGTACTAAAACATCTTTGCACCTGCCCCTTTTTTGTCGTAGTACCTACGCAGAGTTTTATTTTATGGAATTCGTAAAAAATGTAAGGTCGTATCCGCCATGACCTTAACATGTAATCGGTAAAAATTAAGCAATTACCCGCTTCTTTACTTCCGAGGTTATTGTCATAGATTAAAACAATAACTTGAAACTATTATACTTTGATGACCTCTTTCTTATGACCTTATGCAGTTTCTTCTTTAAGTTCCGGTCAAACGCATCTTAGTAGTAATGTTGATGATACTGCTTCAGTAACGTAAATATCAGTCAATAATAGATTCGATGAATAGAGAATTAAATAGTCTAATGTTTACGTAGTGCCTCGGTCAAGATAACGTACGTCTTTTTTATAGCATAAGCCGATAAACCAGCAGATGGATCACCTGATGGTAAGCAATCGGCGCCGCCCATGGACACTTAGAACACCAAGGCGTTTTACTTATAAGGCCTGCGTTACCGGCCTTTTGGCAATTGGGAATTTGAGGATTGTGGAGGGTTCGGGGATTGGGGAGACTGGAGAAGGGGGGTTATTCGGCCTCCGGTAACCTCACTCACACTACGAAACACAACGTAAACGTTGATTCACGTCGGTTTTCTAAAAGGTATCACTCCGGTCGAGCCGGTCCATTCTTGTCGAAGCACGGCTCTCTCACACTTAAATCTAAATAGTTTTAAAAGAAAAAATATACAAGTTTAAAAAACTTACTTTATTTACTAGAAACTCATGGCAAATGTTTTCTACGTTCAGTAAAGTAAAAGTTTTCTTTACAAAAGTATAAATTACGCTAAAGATGGAATGCTTTAGGAAACGTTGTTGCCAAACAAAATAGATTATTGTAAGTTATATTGGCAATCTATTACTATTAAGTGGGAGTATTTATTTACTTTTGAATTGCGTAAAAGAAAATGAAACGGTTAACTTGCTTTTCGTAAATGCAAGGTTGAAAAACAAAATACGCCTAAACTTTTTTCTAATTTTGAGATGTGTAAGATTTTGAACTACAAACTTTTTGTTCTCTTATTTATTTTTCTATGAACAGTAACTATACCAATACATGTTTCAGGCCACATAGTAATATAGGTATAGAAAATTACGTATTAGGCATATAATACAAAATTGATCGCACATTTGATAATATTACTGACCACTTAACAGCTCAATTATTAACTGATAGGAACAGGTCTATCAACAACAAAAATGGACGAAACTTGATATTTACCCGATGATTATCTGCGAGGATCATAAGTACTTACTGGAATTATCAAGTACTTAGGAATATTTGAGTGTTCGTGCAAAATATACTAGGTTAATTTAGCGTACGTTTTCCTTATGTTATTTTTATGTGTTTAATTCTATGGATTAGGTGTAATACGTACCACATTGTAAACAACATGAATAAAATGATCGTATGTTTGTGCAAACATTCAAACTTCGTAGACTAGCAGTTAATTCTAGTGCTAAGCATATAGGCGAAGCAGAAAACTAAGTAAATATGTATTAAATAAAAATATAATAACCTAAAATCTAGACATTTGATTTCGGATATTTGAGATCGTTTCATATCTCTAAAAAATGGTGTGAATGACATTGACATTAGCTTCCGAAATATCAAATGATTATGTGGAATATTCAAGTTTATACCGTACGTTGAAGTTAAACCTAATATTGCTCCCTTTTCGTAAGGATCAATGCATTAAATTCAAATCAAAATCTGTGGCAACTCAATGATATTTTATAAACATAAACGTAACATTAGGCCTTTTATCCCCAAAGGGATAGAGTACCTGCGATGAACGGTGACACCCATTTTTCACTATTTATGATATGAGTCCCATGTAATAGGGGGTGAGTCTATTGCCATATATCGGACACAATTCCAGACTCCGTGCTACAACTGAGAATTAAAAAAAAACCATTAATACTTTGCCCGAACCAGGAATCGAACTCTAGACACCTTGCAGTTGCGACCACTCGGCCAATGAAGCAGATTGATATTTTATCTCACATCAAGATCAAACCCGAGACCTTTTTCTCAGTGGCTAAGTAAACTGGTATATTTTAGGCAATACTAAAAGACATATTATCTTTGTTCGTTTCCAGGTTGATTATACCAGATTTAACAACACATATGAAGTGGACACTCCCCTATGTTCCTCGAAGCAGCTGGACGAGTTGAGAGCAACAGTCTCGACCTCACAGAAATTAGGTACAGATTATCAAATATGCATTTAAAAGTTCATTGTCAATGTTATTTTTCTAAGAGGGGAAAGTCATCGAATGGCTACTCCCGCCTGGGTGAGGCGGGAGGGAATGCCGATGTTATTACGTATTTAATTTCCAATAACCAGTTTTGCAAAAATATATTCGCAAGTCGACATTTTTACAATAAATCTTTGGTAACATTCTATGTATATACATAAATGTAGACGTTTTCATCTTGGAAGCTAATCTCCATTTACCTTTTCCAGATCGTATGCTAGGCACCATCCCGAAGACGTTCTCCGCCGACACCCTGGACCTGAGCTCCGTCGACTCCATGTCCCTCGACGAACACATAGAAATCAAGATCCCAGAAGCTCGAGCGCGGGAGAACAGACTGATGGCTCAGAACAACTTCGTTCATCACATCAATGAGAAGTCTAGAAATCCCAGCCACACACATTTAGCAGTTGAAAACATCCAGGAGATTCATAGGAACCCGGTTCCTATAGAGTACAAACACCCAGAAGTGAAGGAACATATGCACAGGAGTCATAGTCACGCTAGTATGAAGAAAGTCCATGGTCTGACCCCTAATGGCATCGGCCATGCGGGTAATGGTCACACCGACCATAAACATGATGACCACAATAAAATGAGAAAGTAAGTTTCCTGTTACGAGAGCTCTTATTTACAACTTGAGTGAGATTTTCTATTTTATGGAAAATTTTGATATAAAATGCCCCTATGTACTTTGCAGGAACTGTAACTAATTTTGTCAGTCGCTTCCTGTAGACATTTGTAATGTTTGTACCTATGTTGTAATGTCTGTGACCCACCCACGTGTATATTGAAAACCAATATTTGACTAATACGTAGCTCCATTGGTACATAATTAACACCAGTATCCTCCATTCTAGATCCCCAAGTGAGAACCACATAGGAAACAAACAGCCAGTGATCCCGATCTTGGTGACGTCACCGGCCCCAGAGCCCGCCTGACCCCTGCGAGACCACAACCCGCCCGCAGTCGTCGGCGCGCGGCTCAAGAAGCCACACGTCACCTTCTCACCCCACACAGAGAGCATCGAGAATATACACCTAACCATTGATGAAGAGTAGAAGATATCCAATAGAAATTACTGCAAAGTTCATAGGACAAAAAATGATTATATGAGAATTAGTATGACTAAGTGACACTTTTGTGATATAGGTAGTGTTAGAAACTTTTTTGATATCATTGCAATTTTAGTATACAGAATACATCCTTCTGTATTAATGACGAAATACGTGCTTGAGTGTACAATATAAAAGTTTCGGTTATTAACTAGAGGTATATAAAAAAAATGTTTTTAGGATTGAAAAAAAGTTTTGTACTTATATTTAAAGTGTTTATTCCTTATGAGGTACTATTTCTTGTATACATTATGTACTTAGTTATATAAAAACTAAAGCTTCATGCGTACTTATGTGCCAACTACTTAAAATAATACAGTGATAAATTTGTACCAATTTTCTACTTCATCAAACATCGATGTACCAGATTGGGTTGTATTTAGACCAAGTATTTATTTAGATAAATTAGTCGACGTAGGTGGAGACTAAACTTATAGAAGATTTATGACATGAAGCTTTAAAATCTTAGTTAGTCTTGTCTCCAGTTGTGTGTAAGATTACGAAACCGTAGGAGTTAAACTTGTTCTGTCAACAGTCAAACTAGAGATGGAATTAAAGTTAATTTTAAGGAATATTTATATTTCCGATGACGAATTTAATACAACATTTTTACTAGAATGGCCCCTGTTCCGAGTGAAATTGGCGACCAGTATCATTGTATGACTAAATTCCAAAGAGAATGTTATTTAAGTAAAATAAATTATTTAGCTTTTACGCTTTCGGATGAAATCCAAAAACTATTCGATAGTATTTAAATTGTGTCGAGTCTACGTATAAAGTTGTGAATGTAGAAGATGCTTACCTAACGCTTAGTATACAAATATCGTACAAAATACTATTACAATAAAATGTACAACAACTATGTGATATATTTGGATACTTAAATTATTCGGACGAAAGTACTTAGAACTCAGCCCCGCACTGAGCTGGCTATTTTATATCGACACTCCTTCCTCGTGTAGTTAATAAAGCTAATTTAAAATAAGTGTTAGTACTACTAATGCTCGCAATATGTACTGATTATAATATTTTATTATTATGTCATATAAATGAATAATAACAACTCTATTATTAAAGTGTTATACACAAACCATAGTATTATTGTATTGTAATTGTTATCGTCAGGGGCCTGACGCAGCGCGGGCGCTGCTTTTTTATAAATTAGCCAAATGCTTTGTCTATTCCTGATAGAATATATCGGATTAAACAAATATACTTGCTAGTTTAAAAACACAATACATGACTTTTATTTACCTCCTCCACATTTACTTTTGAAAACATATAGGTATTTTAAGTATTAACAATAATGTTTTCCGCATTCATATTTTTTCTAAAGATAGACTTTATCATGAACAGTTGGCGTGGCACCAATAATACCAAACTGTAGTGTTGCTACTCGATACGAGATGGCGCTGTATTCAGATATCCATTAACTGAAGTCTTACGATATTTAAATAACAAAAGATATCTTATCATTACACATGTAAATATCAGACACCTAATAATCTAATTTTCCACAATAGGAACAAATATAAACTTAGAGATACAATCGTTTTTTGTAATATTATACATCGTTTTTCTATAAGCGAAGCGAGTTTTGAATTTTTGATTAAAAACTACATATTTAGATATAATTATTATCTACAATTCTACATAACAAAACAATGACTATTTTACATATTCAATGATATTACAAGTGACCTTATAATACTGAAACAGATATTGCAAACATTATCAAAAGAAAAATTTGCATTGCAACGCGAGATATCAATGACTCCCATCTCATCAGAGATTAGCGGAGATTAATCGGTCTGAATACTGGGTTGATTTAGCATACACATGAGTTTACACATATTAGGTCCTTTACGCTTTATTGTTCTTCTTCTTACTACGTCGTCTCTTCGTTTCTTCTTCGCTGGAGGACGATGACTCTTCAGTAGGACTGCTGAAGTAATTGGGAGGATATTTGACAGAAGACGGTCGTCGTGTGAGGCTAGCTCTTCGGAGAGCATCAGCCACGAGTCTGTCAGCAATGTTCACCAACGGAGAGGCATAAGGCGGTAATATCGTAGAATTGATCGATTCCCGTAGCGTTACGTCACCCGGTAACGACGATCTTGTTGCTACGTAACCTGTAATAGATATTGGGATTTTATTATTAAATATACAGAAATATATAGTTATTAATAATAGGTTACATGCAGAAGAAGATCTCAAAGACGGGAAAAACATTTGAAATGAAGAAATGGAAGTAGTCTAATGAATTAAAAAGAGTCAAAGAAAAACAGTTCTTATGATAATGATCACGCAACTTAGAATTGTCAAATGGAAATGTTAAAATATACCTTAGGGTACATGACTAATTTTTTTTAAATGTCCGTCTAGTAAATTAATTAAAAACATTATACACGTATTTTTTATTTTCTTACGGAAACGAATAGTTTCGAAGACATTGATTTGAAATATCACATGACGTCACTTTTGAGTACGATTTATACTACTCTAAAATGACGTAGCTACCTCCGATTCCGAAACTTTGATTCGTTGTTTCTAAGTATAGTTTTCTTAGACGACAAAATAAAAAAAGACGTGTCTAATATTTTTTCATTACCTAACTGACGGACTAATTAGGTCTTTACTTTTCATACCCTGTCATCATCCCTATTCTAATTGTGTTAATGATGAATTTCTTCATGACGACGGGGAAAGTAAATGTGTAGGTAAGTATTGTGTTAAATGCGAAGAGAACAGTGAGGATAAGACATGATAATCCCAGAATCTTATCTCTTAATCCAATAGGTACAAGTTTGAAGAGTCATTTAGATGACGGATTACCTGAGTTCATTTTTTTCTTTGCCTAAATAGGTACCTAATTTGTAAACGATCTTTGTATAGCATTTCCTGAAGGGCAAGTCACTAAATCTATCTCTAAATTATGACGAATAAAGATGCTTTTAGATTAGCAGTTAATTTAGTAATTCGTGTGGTTCATCTAGAACCTGATTCGTAGAATATACATAACTTTGTACATAAGGAAAATATTAAAAGCCTATTTAAGTAATTACTAAGAACGAGTATTAACCAAAGATTTGACATATTTCCGATTAGTTTTACTGAATCACAATTATTTGTTCACGGTAATAACTTTGCTAAGTTAGTATTTGACTCATAAAATATTTGAAGCAGGAAATGAGCTCATTTCAAGAGGCATTCTACCTCTATGTAAAATCCATTGATAACTATTTCTATAGACACATTATATGTGTCTATGTAAAACTGGTTACTTCATACAAGTATTTTTGTCTTGCACCTTGTTCATTCATGATTGTTACATTTGAGCCTTTAATTATCAATTAGACCATGTGAATAAAATCTTCTGACGTAGACATATACGTACGTTATGTTTACATCATTTTTGAAACAATATATTTATCTGGTGCTATGTTGTGTCGTAACCACCGTGCAGGAGAAGGAACGGGGTGGTTTTTAGTCAGTAAGAGTCTGATACTCCCTCCCGCCTCACCCAGGCGGAAGCAGTTATTCGATGATTTTCCCCCCTTAAAAAAAAAGCACGGACCTGCGAATAGCGAGCACGGGTAGTTCACCGTCCGACCACAACCAGAGCCGAGCGTACGGGCCTTCGCGTTCCGCGCGCTCCTCTAAGAGCCAATATACCACGATAGATGGGGCCTAATAGGGCTGATAAATGGAGCCGCGGAGGACTTAACAGGTTACCGGCTCAAAGTTCAGGAGTAAGAACGGTGTGGTTTTTTGTCAAAATGAGTCTGATACTCCTTCTCCCCTCACCCGGGTGAGAGAACTCATTAGTTGATCTGGACTGTCTATATAACACTAAGCTCTTTTAACCTATGTTCTTCTAATATTAAGGTGCTAATTACCAAGACTAATAAAAATTGGAACTTAGCTGTGCAATAGTTTATTGGTCGGTTTTCTGGTCTCTATTCACAACAGCGTCATTTTATGAGGCACTAATTACAAGTCTTTTGATTAGTATCGAAGTTGTGGTTTGGAAATATAATAGCAGATCATAATAATTATACTCGTCTCTTTGTTTTGCAGAAATATATCTATGTTTGTACGTCATCCGAAAAATACGGAAGACCTATGAGACTTTCAAAGATATTAACCATTTTAATTGACGTTGACCACAGATATTTCTGTAACGTTGATATTTCATAAGTACCAAATTATGGTTTCATTGTAATATGTACCTAAATGCTTTGACTCTATTTTTACCGACTCAAAAAAAAGGTGGAGGTACTATGTTCGGCTGATTGTTTTTTTTTTGTTCGCGCATTACTCCGCCATTTGTTATTTAGTAGGATCAGTGAAGTCTGTACTATAATAATCTTTCTTTTCTACTATAATCAAGAAATCATACCTATACAGATATTATTAGGTACCACTCTCACATACAATATTTTCTTTCCACACATATTACCTATCTATAGCACATTTTCTAACATACTTAGATAGTGTTTTATCTTTGAAGGTCAAGTTTCACCTTACCTGGGTCTGATCATCACAAGTCGACGTCACACCGCGCAACGCTGACATCACAAACATTTCAACACACAAACAGACGGACACGATAAGCTGACGATTATCTCCACTAATGTCGATCAACAGACAATGAACCTTCAGGTACTAATCTTATAGCATTCTTTAGTAAGTTGGTTATTATCTTTGATGGGATAGAACAAGAGGAAAATGTTGCTGTATAATTTTCGTATAGTTTATTTTTGTATATAGGGTTGCGTTCTGAGTAAAACAATATCTTCTAGGATTAGTGTACCTATCAATAAAAAACTTTCTAAATTTTTTTCGCATATCGTTTCCAAGCTACTGATTTGGAAGTCGTTGGAAGAAGCCTATATTCAGCTGTGTTCGGCAAAGAACTTCTTGTATTTGACAATGAATTGTCATTGTGGAAGTTAATGAAATATTTGTGAATATTAAATTATCATTTTACCCCTTTTCTGCAGTAACAAATTATTGTGTAGAATTTTCCTTATCCTCTCGTCAAAGTTTTCATAACTTTTATGTAAGTTTAATACAAAATCATTATAGATCATTTCATACTTATTTTTTTTATTTCATAATTGTACGTACTTAAACTTACATAAGTTTGAAATCATAAAAGCTTATGTACCTATAGGTACAGGTAATACATATTTTTGTTAATATTTCTATTATTTACTCCATAACGGAAAGATAAATAACTGTTTGAACATTATCACGTTTTAGAAAAGTACCTGAGGTACATGTGAGAGATAGCGTTTCAACAAGACAGTGCAAGCACTAGAAATATGGAAATTCTTAGGTATCATAAATCAAACACAAATCAACGTCACAACATAAATAATTATTCATTCAATATTTACATAAAAACAACACAAAACGTGACAACACATGCTTATTGTTCTTTACTATTAAAATATTATTATTGAACAACGATTTACAATATACAAATACACATAGTATGTTTAACACGATTATCTACTATACGGCCCTTTAATAAGGTCTATTTTTCTAAAAAGGAATGTAAAATATGTCAAGTTTAAAAAAGCCTTCCTATTTCAAAATTTTAAAGACTTTCGTGTACGGTGTAATTGGGTCGTAACTATCACAATAAAGGTCTTAAAGCAGTAAAATACATTTCTAACTTATAATTAATATATTTAATGATAAAATTGCACGTATACAAAACTGGAATGTATATAAAATTGACGTTTTAGCACAACCTGTGAAAAATCTACATTTTATTTATTGTTCTATAATCTTAAAGCTGACTAGTGGCACTGGGTTATTTGTAAAACATTATAACAACTACTTAACAGCGTTAATAATATACCAGATCTTCTTATGATTCGATATCATTCTTATAACTTATACAAACATAATATTCTCTTAATTATTAATACCCAACATTTCTTCTATTCAGATCATAACATGGTAACATTGACGTTACAATCGAGACTTTAACTTATATCAAATAATATGTACTTTCACATAATTATTCACAAATGTAACTAAAATTAATTACGTAAATCTTTAATGAAATTATTCATAATATGAACATTTCGTTTTTCGTTTGTTTTCGACGGTTGCAAACAAGCCAACCGACGCACACCAAGACATTCCGCGCTTCCATTTTCAAATATTTAACTGTCCCACGTCTTGGAACTTATTACACTGAGGTTTATCGTTTTGTTTCCTCACTAGATGGCGCTAATGGCGTCCAATCATTCTAGCTTTAAAAAATATTATGTCAAACAACATTCGTCTATTGGACAAGCGACCTTAGTTCCCCTTAGCGTCTATGATCCCTACAATCAGATGCGATGGCCCTCATTCGAACGATCTCCTTTGTTCGATTTGACAGCTATTCTTAATTTAAAGGGTGACGGTAAAGTCTCCGTCGTTGTGCTCGGCTTTAGGCTCGTGTGGCTCGCGATCTGGCATCTTCAGCATGAGGTGGTGGTCCCCGCTTTCTGTGCGACATCACAAACACAGGCACAGTTACATACACATACATTCAAACATTTCTACTACTCTAATGTGCTATAGGACATACTAGTGCAGACATTCATTTGGCTTACCGATCTTAGTATTAGTTTTGTGCTGGATTTGTAGTCTCAAGTTTTCAGTTCTTACTTAAGCTATATGCAATCACAAGGTATATTTTGTCTAGGACAGATCTCAGTAGATGTACTGCCGTTTAATAATTCAAGGTATTTTATTCCTCATCATGTTAATAAAAACATCAATATTTTCCTAAAATATTTTACACTTAACCTAGTTAAAAAATTTGTACGAAAATATACCAGACAAGGTAAGACTCCTTTTAAGGTCAGCCGTGAATGTTTTTGTTGATAAGAAGAACAAACAGAGACATGTACATCGTATCAATCTTTGTGAGACCACGAGTTTCGTCAAGTTACAATCTTACACTAAATTAGTATCAATGAGAATTTGTTTCACATTAGTTACATACACGTATGGTTTTTGTTAGACACAATAGAATTATATAACTATATTAAAGTAAAGAACACAGTGGCGTGCACACCGTACATGCAAATAAGCACTGCATACCCTACAAAATCATGGTAAACCTACATAGTCAAATACATAGTGTCACTCATAAATACGACATGAATATTTACTGACATCATACAGAGATTTCGTAATTTTATTGATACTTAATTTGAAAAACTGGTCACTAACGCCATCTATCGAAAAAATGTTGAAGTACTACAACCACTTTCTACTTTCTTCGATATATTGAAGCATTGCGCCAGTGGCGCCGCCACCTCGCTATTGTGTGATGGTGGCGGAAGCATGTACTAATGCGTAGCCGGTACAATTTGCTTGTTTTCTCGTGCTGATGTTGGATTTTTTTTTTGTTAGGTTGGTAATTTCTATACAACTGCAAAAGCACTGCTTCTTCGTTATCCGACTAATTTAAGAAGTCAACAAAACGTAGCGTTTGTTGATTGAAAATAGATATATTAATTTTGGTCAACTTATTGTTTACGTTTTTTTTGGCCATTTTGTTTTGGTTATGTTTTTATGTGCAAGTGAATAAATTGTAATGTAATGAATTATAATTTAAATGAACTGTTAATTTACCGAAAATTATGTAAAATTATAGCTGTGAGCTCTGTGCTGGTGATTTGTGTTGTTCAATAAATTAAATATGAGTGCGTTGTCCTTATTGTCGTTCGAAGAAGAAACGAAAATATTTCCAAAGGCGATTTTGCGTGTGTCGTATGTCCGGGCTAGGCGTAACTCAAAAAAGGTAATAATTTTATTATTTCTTTTAATAAACTATGATTTGCGATTATAGGTAGGTATAGTTTGTTTTGTTAGCACTGGTTGTGTACCAATTTCATTAATGTTTTTAAAATCCAGTCATCTTGATCTCGCTTTGTACGATTTTTCTATGCATTTAACGGTCAGTTTATACTGGTGTCGCATAGCTTGATGTGTAACCATTTGTACTTCGCCGCTCCAAAGTAGGTACCTAATTAATAGATTTGTAAAATAGATACCTAGGTATCTATGTTGATCACCTTTATACACGGATAGTTTGAAAATAATTATGTACCTAATTTGTTTATACAAATTAATAAAATACTTACTAAACCTAATTACCTACTCAAAATTATGATGTTTCGGGAGTTTTATTTTCCGAGATTAATGAAGACCAAATTTTTTTTAATCATGTGATACCTTCTGCCTACCCTACTTCAAATCTCTGTGCACGCCCCTGAAAGAACAGTGGAGAAGAAATGTAAACCATCAGAGTGCAATGACATATTATAACACCTACTATTAGTAAAATTATGGTCAATTAATTTTAGGTACACACAAACGTTTTTTAACGACGGTTTTACCTAACCACACTGATTAGACAAAGCTATGTTCCTGGATGATCTATTATTTACATAAATAATGTCAGCAATGAGTACATAGTGATGTCAAACAAGACCACAACTCAAGAGTCGGTGACACAAAAGATAAATAAATTCTTCATTTCACAGAAATATTAAATGCAATATTACATTCCAAACAACTGACTAGATCACAAAAAAAAAATATTTCAAAAATGGAACCATTAAAATAATGCTGGCGGCCATATTGCCATGATTCAAATTGTTCGTTCAAAATGACAGGAGACCGTTAAACCGATCGTCTTAAATAATCAACAAAACAAATGTATCCTGTATCAAAAAGGGGCAACAAATTGGCAAAATGGTACATCCTGTAGAGATTTGATAATATTGTTCCGACGGGTAACGGCCATGGTGATTGGTGTAGGAAAACCTGACCCGATGACCTTCGCGGAAATGACAGGTAAGATGACAAATACAATAATCCTAAGCCTAAGTAGTGTTAACCAAAGTTTCTTTGAAGTGGTTTATTGTCGAAACTTCGAGAAGATTAGGCCGTAATTCTCCTATTCAGATAAGGACGTCTAAAATAGATATCCTTAATGACATCTGTGCTCTAAATTGGCTTATCAAGATTTATAAACTGAATTCCAAACTGTTTGCTGATTTCGTGGAACTTTATAGACTTGGAAACAGACATATATTTTCCATTTTTCTTCGTAACGAAGAAACTCATGACGATCTCTTTTGATCGTGTATTGATAATAGGAGGTTCCTATTAAATAATGAATAATGACGTCAAGATGCAAATTGAGGGGTAATAACAAGTATTTTAAACTTTATTAACTTTATGTTTGAGCACATAATTGTGTAAAAACACGTACGAGTACATAGCAACTAATTTAAATAAATGATACTCTGAATAACTATTCGCACGTCTAGTGCTAATTGGAAACTTGTGATCTTATTAATAGTTGCTAATTAAAAGTAACTACCAACGTTACAAGTTAGTACAGAATATAATATTGTAAAATATTTTGCTGCAAAAATATTTTGAAATACTTGAAGCTTTTATTGCGAGTCACTATATAATCTACAATTCATTATTACACGAACGACTACACTACTATGAAACGTGTCTACACTAAGTGTTGATAATATTGTCCCTATGGTCCAATTTACTGTTGATTGAAAAACCCTTGTTTTATACAAATAAATGCATGTTTAAACTACAGTTTAATACGAAGTTACAACCTTACCTACCACCGCCTACCCGATTGCACTTTGCACGCAACACGCATTAGTTCAAGTCGAAAGAAATATTAATTGAATCTGTCACACGATACAATAAATACGAGTCACATACTTATATACACTTGAATTATTATGTACAAATGTGTACAAATTACTCACTTGTAGTATATATACTTCTTTACATATATATTTACACCTCATATTCTAATATATCAACCATTGTGTATAGATATGTGACACGCTTCATAAGATCACGAGACCTAACGAGACGTGAATAATAACTTTATTATTAACATATAATAATGTATATTATTATTATATACTTAAGTATGCAGGAAGTACCATTTTCAACTAGACTTTCTATAAAATTGTTTTAAGTGCATTTTTGATTGACATGAACAAGTATCTATTATGAGATATTAAAGATAATACAGGTGTTGTTATATTTTTTCCTGTTTTAATTTTCATATCTTGTTTAGTGTTTTGTTTTTGTTATTCGTTAATTGAAAAAAAGTGCTGATATGGATTGAAAACAATGCACAAATACACATTAATGGGTTAAAAGAACTATGAGAGTATGAAAACAAACATCGATAACAAAATAAATTAGAAATTATCAAGAGAATACGAGAGCTGTCTGTTGACCTGAGATAAACAATAATATAATATTGCAAATATCACATCTATACATAACTATATGGAGCGGAAACATTGCAAGTGCAAGAAACTTGCATCTACATAATAATTGTATTTACTGCTCTATGTACTTACTACATGATTTAGTGCAACTGTCGTTTAAATATAAACTTCATTATATGGGTCGAAGTGTTTGTTACCAAACAAAGAAATAAGGATAAAAAATAGTGACATAAAATGATTATTTTCTTAAATCGTTATCAAAATATCTAACATCGATAACATAAATACCTCTACAACCTAATCGTACAAAGATTATTGTGATAAATTAACAAATCTGCGAACATGACTATTTCCTGTCATGGATAGAAACACAGAGGAGCGTTATTAGTTAACTTTTGGCACATGTAACCAGCTACCGCCACCACATCTACCACCAGATTTAAGTCGTAAAAGGAACTCACCGATCGATCTACGATCACCCTGACTGCCGTAGAACTCGTCCAACTCCTTGGCCGAGCACAGCGGCGTGTCCACTTGCATTGTCTCCTCGAACTTGGAATAGTCCACCTCGTACCCTTGACGCTCACGATTGTACGTCACCAACGGGACAAACCTGTGTCCCCACATTATTTCACTAGTCGTATAACTGGAGCGAGCCTGAGTCGTCTGACCCGTAGATTCAATCGTTCCCTCCAAAATAACTACAATCTCAAATCGCTCTTGCAGCACATCTGCCGCAGATACACCATAGAACGGACTGTCAGCGTTTATCTTATGCACCATCGTAATGGGCCAAATGAAGAATAAGTTGCTGTCGCAACCATCTGCATTGAGCTCCAGTTCCGTCTGGTAGTGAGACAGGACTTCACCTTCCTTGGTTGTTCGAGATCGTATCAGCTGAGCTCGTACACTGGCTCCAATAATATGCGACTTCCTCAAGTCGCCCACTCTGAACATCAAGCACAGCTCACCGTCTCGCTGGCACACTACAGCATACTTTGAGAATAGCAGCGTCTGCGTTCTGTGCTTGGGTCTGGTCATCTTAGCAAACACTATACCAACCATAAAGGCTTGGATCATCACACCAACAATACTTTGTAAACACATTATGAATATTGCTTCTGGACACTCTTCAGTTGTAGTACGCGAACCGTAACCGATAGTGTGCTGCGTCTCAATACTGAACAGGAAGCAGGAGGTGAAGTCGTAAATATTGAACACACATGGCTTCCAGTTAGACGTTTCCTGCATGGGTGGCAGGTGGTCCGGCTCTAAGTCTCCATGTGTAAATGATATCAGCCACCAGATCAATGCGAATCCCAACCAGGATAAGATGAAGGAGAGTGTGAATACTAGCAGTGTCCATCGCCATTGTGCGTCCACGAGGGTCGTGAACATATCCTGAAGGAACCTCAGCCGCCGCTGCGAGATCTTAGACTTGAGTATATTACACTCTCCATTTTTGAGAATGGCTCGTCGCCTCGCTCGTCTTGTTGCACCATGTCTATGAGATCGACTCCTGAAACCAAACACGATCACATAAACACATGTTTATTTCCGTTTCACTTGAATGACTCTATAGTATCTACATATCTACTCGCTACACTCCTGGAAGTGTGAATGTCTAGTTCACGCTTGCATCGCCGCGCTACGACGACTATGACCTTCGTCAATGGTAATATGGGTAATATGCTGTTTCGAACATAGCGAATAGGCTTTCTAATTAACATAAATCGTTCGTAATAATCACGACATAAAACAAAAAGAGGACATTTAGACGCAAATAAACGGACAAAAGCGACACAGTACGGGATGGTATCTGTCGGAGACGGCACGGGGTGTCGGTCGTCGACGAACCTCTTGCTGCCTGTAGTGGGGTAGTAGATGCCCGGCGAAAGATTGCCGTTGGCTGGCACTGGCTTCACTTTGAGCCAGTCGTCGGGCAGTAGCTGCGACTCCTCGCGACATGTGGGGGATTCCGGATCGGCGTGCATGGCTGATGCGGCGTCGTGCGCTCGACTCACTGGCAGCGGACCGTCTGCGCCACCATCCCTCAGTGGGCAGCCTCCTGAAGCATCGCGCGCGATAATGTCTCGGTCACGACTGACTCTCTCGTGCCCGCCCGCACAAAGGCGCGCTAAACGTTGTATAATTGTAACGCGAGATTCTATATCGGAAATTATCAGCTCGCTACGGAAAACAAATTTTAGTTAGTGCCTTCGTTGACGTTATCAGGCCTACAGGATGATATTTTGGTACACTTTGGTATGTGTGAGTGAAGGCTATAAAACTTCAGAAGACTTCACAAATAATTAAAATTTAAAAATTCGTGCAAATTAAAAGTCTTTCTCAGAGCTAGTAACTTGGATATGTGGAGCATAATTATCACTGTATTTCCTTTTATACAGTGTGACAGTTTATGATATAAGATTACGAGATTGTGACATAAAATAATGAAATCCAAACAGAGCACAAGCCACTGACAGTCGTTATTAGCGTCATTAGAGATGCGCAGGCGACAAGTTAATATTTACTGTTAATAATAATTATTTATGTCCATTTGTTCGTCACTCGTTTGTATAGTCACCGCATCAGTTAATGTTTTGTTTCAATATTTTCGATGATTCTTGTTGCATCGGTAAACTAGAGGTACAATAACAATTCAGTTGAGTGATGGTACGTACTTATTTAATGTTAGCTCAATGTTACAGACCAATCATATAAGATTTTCAAAACTATTCCTATTTCTGCGTTCATTACTCTTTTTTTCACTTGTAAGTCAAACTTTGCTACGTTTTTGGTTTCTGTTTGCAATAATTTAGTAAATATGTAGAATAATAAAAATATCGTAAATACGATATAGATTTTGTACGCACCGTAGCCCGGTTTAGGCATCGGCCTAAGGACTTAACTAGACTTTACCTTAACGGATTAAGAATTTTAGAGAAAACTCTTGTGATTTATGATAAACAAATCTCAGTAGTCGCACGGAGCCCGAAATTGTGATCGGTATATGGCAATAGACTCACCCCCTATTACATGGGACTTATAACATAAATAATGAAATAAAAGTGAGTGTTACATTGTACAGTAGTATTAAGAGAGTGTAATGTGCACCTTTGCCTACCCCTTCGAGGATAAAAGGCGTGATGTTATGATGTATGTAAATATATATCAATACATTCTTCAAGAAATTGAACTAAAAATAGACATATTTATTTCAATAAACATTATTAGAATGCCACGATCATCATCATTTATGAAACTAGTTAAAACTGATAAAGTTTCCATCTATGGAAAGCATTAGGAAGAAACTTTTCTTAAATGCCTTTTCTGCATAAACTAGTATTTTTTCTTGCATTGCGGCTTTTGTTTAAAAACACCTACTACCTATACATCATTCGTAAACCGCCAACAGTAATTTGTAATTAAAACATATGTTTTATTTTGAGTGCCTCGTTGGCCGAGTGCTACTGACGAGCAAGGGGTCTCGATTTCCGGGTCTGGCAAAGTATTACTGGGTTTATTTAAAAAAAACTCAGTAGTAACACGGAGCCCGAAATTGTGAACGGTTTAAGGCAATAGACCCACCCCCTATTACATGGGACATAAATAATGAAAAGTGGGTGTTACATTGTACAGTGGCATTGAGTGCTGTAATGTGCACCTCTGCCCACCACTTTGGAGATAAAAAGCCGTGATGTTGTGAATTATATATTTTATTCCATGATATTTGAGTCCGCAACACGTTACATGACAGCCCGTCACCCATCCCCAGCACCAAATATGCAGTCAATACTAAACAAAATAATAAAAAAAATGATTGTACAACTCTTCCGAGTGGAATAATTATTTTTTTAAATAGATAGAGGTTTCTGTGATTCCCTTGTCCTATCTTACCTGCCGGATTACGATCGAAATTCAAATAAGAACACTGATTACGATAAGTATTTACTACTGATATTATAATATTAACATAATATTCCACTGGACAGTGAGGTGTTCATTTATTATCATAATAATTGCACAATTTGCAAGCATTGTTTTGTCAAATAATATGGAAAATTAATCAGATGCACCAATTACATCTGATAAGAGGTTTTGTATCATTATTTTATGTAAGTTATTATCGCGTAGGTACGTAAGTAGACAAATAATCTTTTAATTATATACACCTACACTTTTAAGTGGATCTAGAATTTAACTAAAGTATGCCTAACACTATTACTAGCACTATTTTGTAAATTACGAATATTTTATAAAAACGCAACTATTTAACGACCTTTGTAGCAACCTCTACGAACAGTTCTTCGACAGACACCGACTACGCGCTACGAGTTTTGCTACGCAGCGTAGCAGTTACGCCAAATAATTAAATAACAAAATTAAATGTAAGCAAATGACACGATGTTTACATTTGATTTTAAAACGTCCTGTATTTGAGAATAAGATGGCGCTCACCCCAGCCTTTTCATTAAAATAGCTAATTTGACAGCGCGCGAATTGTTACATGCTAATGCGCATCTTTTTCCAACACTAATTTGTTGTTCTCGATCATTTCACGATTCAAGGACATGAACTGTTAAATATATGTTAAAAGAAGAGTTGTTTATTTGCTTTGTAGATGTTCAAAATATTTTGATAAAGATGTATCTACCTACGGTTACAAAAATACGCATGTGTATATGAGGTGTTCAAATATACAAAAGTACATACATTACATTACTTGATGTTAAATTAGTCTCCATACTAAAAACTAGTTAATGATGACTAGAAACAGTTTCTTGGTATCTTACTTTATTAAGAAATCATTGAATATTAATCAATTCCTTATAAGAATAAGTATTGTTATCTAATCAGTAAATAGTATCCTGTAGCTATAACAAGAACAGTTTCTACCTAAACTTGATTACAATAGAAATACACGATAACTAATCAAGTTAACCATTTATAAGGAAATTTCAAAATCAGTTTGCTAATTTAATCTACACACTGTTAAATCACACTCAATAATCGATTCTCCATATTTTTCCACGACCCCGCCTCTTATGAAAACCCAGCCCACAATATAGCACATACCTCTAATATTGACACATACCTATATATGTATTTAATCACAATGATCCAATTCTAAATCCAAAATGACAATCGTAAATGACGATTTGTTTACATCGAGATTTTCCGTAGAATTAATTTACACCACGCCTTCATGTAAACATGTATCCACACGACATTTTCTCGAGTCGTAAATAGTGTAGCAAATTAATCGTGATACCAGAATAAACACCTCGTTGTAGGTGACATCTGGCTATTTTTCCGTAAGCCTGGCTTCAGTTGCTAGCTGTAAAGGGGCGCCACTCCTCCATAATTTAATTATCGCTGTTAATTTCGGATTTTACGTCGTCAAAGCGTGACAGCGAGCCGACATGTTTGGCAAACGATTTAATTGTATTGTAACGATTCACGTGTCGTGTCTATAGTACTTTTAATATAATCTTCTTTGGTTTGATCTGACATAGTTTTATTAAATCGTGATAATGCTTTAAGCTTCACCGAAAGCTTACGACAGATACAGAGTTCTCTTGTGACGCGGTTCCGTTGTACAATGGTTGGACAATTAGTCCACTATCGCCTTGATTTCAACTAAAAGGCAGCATAGTGCATATTGAAACGGTCTAAAAATCTCTTTCATTCTTCTCTTGGTCCTAAAATAGAGACTTAAATTGCACACAAGTGTCGCGTGCTATCACAGCTGATTTGCAGACACTCTTGCACTCCCGCCACTTGAATGCGACTCCATCCAATCATACACTTGACAATGTTAGCGCGTGTCGAGTACCAAACGTTAGGTGTCAGGGCTCCTATGACATTCAACACTCTATTTATAATGTTTGTCAATTGTTTTTAGTCTTCAACAAGCTACTAATTTGTCTAAATATAATGAAAATGTGTCAAGTGCCTATATATTTTGTTTAAAGAGCTACTACGTATAGTTTGTAACAATAATATAGACACGAGGATTGAGTACGACATCCAATTTGATTGCTATCGTCATCCAATGACAATACGTGTTTACCCAATTTAAGACATAAGATATAAGACTATTATTTATAGTTCACTTACGTGTTAAAAAGTAGGGTACAATTGATATGCAGTCATTTTAGTAACACATTTCTTGAAACCATATACCTACGTTCAATATCGTATTTTTTTAAATAGCCATCTATTTAAAAAAGGAATAATGTTTAGCACCTCATAGTATCTCATAGTACCCTATTAGAAGCATTCGTCTTCATCCGCAACATCATTATCTGTAGGAAAACGGTCGGTTACTACGCAAAGGTTCCCCTTTTGTCTACCCCATTGCCTGTACCAACGTCTGTAAGTTACAAAAACTCTATTTGTCCCTAAAGCCCCTAATCATCCAGTTTATAATGTTAACAACCCCCAATCGCCTACCGTGGCAGACCCCAAGTGACGGGCCTACACACGAAGGATTAGAGATTGTCTGTCATATAA